TATAACTCATGATTGGCATTGATATTAAAATGGGTAGTTTGTATTTGGAATTCCGTTGTTCTAATTTTGATGTGGTATAGGAAATGAGGAGAGTGGGGGAAGAAGGGGGTAGTATTATAATATATGATGAAAAATCTTTTGATAATTAGGTTTGAAATAACTTCTAAGTGTAAAAGAGTTAGTAAAATATTGTGCAATCTGCTGCAAATATCAAGCTTCGATATTTTTTAAAGAAAGACATTACAATGTGATAAATCAGTGTATATCATGATACAAAGCTTCTTATAATCATATGATGACAAGTTTGCCTGTGAACCAACCATATTTAAACAAATTGGTATCAATAAATATAATCCCTATATGTAAATAAAAAATTTCTTATAAATATTAAAAGTCTGATCTTCGGAATGTTTAACAAGTTCAAAAAACCTATAAAAAACATTTTAAACTTTTTGATTCACCTTTCTCTACACTCCTAAGGAGTTTAGGCTTGTAATAAGAAATTTTTATTTTACTAAAATCAATTTAGAGAAAAAAGTGTATTATTTTAAATTTTGTCGATGTATAATTTTTAGGTAAGGGTTTGAACTATCATTTTGTATTTTGTAAATTCAGATACAATTATTTTTGGACCTATGACGATTTTGACAGAAATTGATCCAACCACCCCCTGGTCTTCCCTGCCTACCCTGTGAATATTAGACAGTACTCTAATGATCTTTTAACTAAACTTAATTTTGGTAAGGCGATAGTTTAATGGGTAATGTTTTATTTTTTGTTATTATTTGCATTTAAAATCATTAATTGAGTGCGTTTTATTAAATTTAAAAATCTGATTTTGCCAGAAATGCACCTGAATAAGTGTAGAATACCCACCCTTAATGTTGCGCAATCGGTTAATTTTAGGCAATTCCAAAACGGTTAGCCAAGTTTTTAGATTAAAAAATCGGCTAAGAATAATTAGGCTTAGCATAAAAATAGCGAAAACTAATTATTCAAAAATTTTGCATCGGCTAAGGAGCTCGGTTAATCGCCCGTCATATATCCTTACATAATAAATATATAAAATAATTTTAATAAAGGCTAGGCTTAGTGTTGCGTAACGCTGACGGGCGATTAGCCTAGCTCCCATTTTGTCTAATTAGTTTTAGGCGATTTTTCTGTTAAGCCAAATTATGTTTAGCTGATTTTTAGGCTACTAACACTACTTATAAATTTCAGATTAATGTAAATTAAAATTTCTTCAAAAGTTCAATATAAGATCTTCTGAAATTTATAGGGTGGGTATTCTACACATATTATAATGCATTTTCGGCAAAATCAGATATAAAATTTAATAAAACGCGCTCAATTTATGATTTAAAATGAAAAAATAGAACAAAAGAAAATTATTAAATACAAAAATATTTTGGCGCAATCGTATGAAATTCCCATGGTAGATTCTCTTCGGAATTGGTAAAATCAGATATATTATGGAAATTATAAAAGCGCACTATAAATCAGAGACCTACAGGCCCGACCTTAAACCCGGGCCGTATTTTAATTTTTTTAAATACACGCGCCGGGTCAAAAAAAGCTTTTTTTAAAAAACTCGAGCCGGGCCATATATTTTAAAACCAAATATTTTAAATCACCATTATTATCTAGGCAAATTAAAAATAGATAATATATTTTTTAAAAATCGGGGCCGGGCCAAGCAGATTAAAATAATGCACAAAGCAACTAAATATTGACAAAATTTTTAAAACAATTGGCGTAAGGCTGGCTTTGTTGCTAATAGTTTTTTTTAAAATGGTTACTCTACTAGTTAAAGCAAAGCACCTAATAGAAACTGATAAAGAAGGAAACATTTTCATAATTTTAGTATTACTACTTCTAATTGTTCAGCGTATTTTAAAAAAAATAACAAGAGGAAACTCAAAAATATTATCATAATTATTCATAGGCAATACAAATCAGGAATGTGAATAATTTTTTTTAATGATTATTTTTTCCCTTTTTCTATTCAAGGGTTCCGAGAATTTATATGACGGCATCTGGCTTTTTTTGAGAAAATTTATTTCTAAAATAATACTTAATTCATTTTCTATAAAATCATTCTCTATAAAATTATTCTCTATAAAATCCTTCTCTATAAAATAATTCTCTCTAAAACAATTCTCTGTAAAATATTCTCTATAAAATAATTCTCTGTAAAACAATTCTCTGTAAAATATTCTCTATAAAATCATTCTCTATAAACGACATTCTATATAATTGTTTTCTCTTTAAAAGTTTCTCTATAAAATAAATTCTCTATAAAATAAATTCTCTATAAAATCATTCTCTATAAACGAAATTCTCTATAAAATCATTCTCTATAAGTGAGATTCTCTATAAACGACATTCTCTATAATTGTTTTCTCTTTAAAAGTTTCTCTATAAAATAAATTCTCTATAAAATCATTCTCTATAAAATCATTCTCTATAAAATCATTCTCTATAAAATCATTCTCTATAAAATCATTCTCTATAAAATCATTCTCTATAAACGATATTCTCTACAAAATCATTCTCTATAAATGAGATTCTCTATAAACGACATTCTCTATAATTGTTTTCTCTTTAAAAGTTTTATAAAATAAATTCTCTATAAAATCATTCTCTATAAACGATATTCTTTATAAACGACATTCTCTACAATTGTTTTCTCTATAAAAGTTTCCCTATATTTGCATTCTCTATAAAAGATTCTCTGTAAAGACGGGATACCCCGACTACCTACAATACAAAATATTTTGTCATGAACAGAACAAGATATTCTCTACATTGGACATGAAGGATTCATTACAGCTCGATTTAGATGATAAGTCAAAAAGGTTCCTTTATCAATATAACAGATTTTTATTTGAAGTCTAGTCTTCTCCTGCCATATTTCAAAGAGCCCTAGATTTATTATTATGGCACATGTGCTTATCTTGATGATATTGTAGCAGGAAAAAATTCGGTCGAACATGATGTAAACTTATGGAGGGTACTAAAAATACTAGACAACAATAACTTAAAATTAAACTACGATAAATGTGTTTTTAAGGCAAATGAAATAGAATATCAAGGGAACAAAATAAATGGGGATGGAATATAAACCACGATCAAACATGTAACATGAATGCGCCCAAACCAAAAAATATAATAGCATTACAAACCTTTATTGGAGTCCTTACATATTATCACACTTTATTCCGAATTTCGCAACAAAGGCATGGTCGCTGTATAATCTATTACAAAAAAAAAATCGATGGATCTGGTCAGAAGTTTATAATAACGAATTTCTGGATTTATAAAAACACATCATTGCTCCTCTCCTAACGCCTTATATACAATCAAATCCATTAATTCTTGCCGCCAATACTACCAATTTGCGCACGCGAACTGGCAATATAGCATGCAAAATATTCAAAATGGCGTAAAACCCCAGTAAAATGACGAAAGTAATAAAAATCATATAAATGGTGTATTGTTTTTAATAAAATTTACGCCATTTTGTCATATACATGTTATTCTCATCATTTAAAAATAAATATATGCCTGCCTTTGCTGATTTATATGCTTTCGATTTTCTTTTAGACCATCAAATAAAATTAGGTGTCAATTATCGGGCGTTTTCTTTTATTAGCTAAAATTTAAAAAAAAACCCAATTCTATTAGAAGCATGAATTTGCAAAATATATTTTTACATATCTAAAATGGACAATTATATAATTTCAATCAAAACATAGACGTTATATTATATACTGTATATATATATATTAACCCTTTTAGGCATTTATGTTTACCCCTTAACATTTACCTAACCTACTCTGCTAGACATCTGAGTTTTCCCTTTAACCTTTACTCTTACTCTAACAAAGAGGTATTGTAGGATTTAAAATTAACGTTTAAAGTAAATAAGGCATATAATGAAGATAATTTTACTTGCGCACCATATGACCATCAAAATATATTCCTTGTAACAACTACTCGTAACTAAAATTATTTGGAATGACAAAATTTAGAATTAGGATCCTGAGGACCAAATATAATCCAAACAGGTAGCAAATATTTAGAAGCCAACGTTCTCTGTTACGTTCCTGAGATCTAGGTTAGAATTCCAATCATTGCATTTTTTGAAGATCTAATTGCAAACGTAGAATTCTATTTTGGTTAAATGAAACATATACTAGGGCTGTGCAGAATCTCTATCTAATTTCCATAAACGTATCCAAGATTTTGCTAGAGGAGTCACTAATAGATTGGTTTTCTCACATAATAATTTTTGGAAAATAGATTCAATGATTGTAGACTATTGGTTTTCTCACATAATAATTTTTGGAAAATAGATTCAATGATTGTAGACCTTTGACTATTTTATCTTTATAATAATTATTTATTTTTATACTTTTTTTAATATATAAAATTTCTATTTTTTCAGTTTTTTTTTTATAAAATGTCTTATAAAATTTAATTACAGTCGTTATTTAAAAAAAATTATTATATACTTATTTTTATTTCAAATTTTTGTATAGTGATATATTGCATACATATTTGAGAGGGAAGGGGCTGGGGGGGGGGGGTGTATAGGAGAGAATTTTTATTAGCTTAAAATTATATTTAACAGAGACGCCAAATTTTCGAGGGGGGATTCCCCCTCCCACATCCCTGCTGCGCCTAAGCTAATCAGTATCATATATGCATTTCTATATAATAAATTTAATATCATGGCAAAAATATCTTCTTTAATGAAATTAAATCGGCAACATACTAAGTTGCGTCTAAAATAAATTATTTAGAAAATTAAAAATAATATACCTGTCATATTTTTCTAAAGCTATAATATGGAAGGTTTATAATAATAAAGTGAATATATATATAAATATTTGGCTTTTATTTTATCAGAATTTAAAAGAATAAATCAACCAATATGAATGAATATTTGTGAGGTTATTTTTAGCACTACTCAAATTTATTTTTATTTTTGGTAAGTTCGGTTAAAAAATTCAGCATTTCAGCAGGTTAGTTACTATTTTTCTATAAAAATACTATAAAATGGGATTTTCACTTATGTTAATATATTTTTTTTTTATTGTTACACATAATTTTATATCACAATTTTGTTTTAAACCATATAAGATGAGTAATAATTAAAAAATCTTCATTTGAATGAAATAGTCTTTATAAATATTTAGATAAATAATTTTGAAAATGTTTTTATTTTATAAAATTATTCTCTAATTTTTATATAGGTTGCATCAAATGTTATAAAGCTTAAATATTCACAAATATGTTTTGGGTTTTTTCCTTTTTTAATATATTTTCACAGAGTCTTATGAAATCAAATATTTATTGTAAAATTAGATTGTATACAGTTATCAGACTTTAAATATTTGCATGATTTTTTAATGCAGTAACAAAATTAATATAGCTTCTTGAATCAATATAATTCTATAAATTTTAAATGTTATATTAACCTTATATTATTATTTTATGATTCATTAATTTAATTGATAAAAAAATTTTAAGATAGTTTTTAATAAAATGGTACCATAATTATAAGGAAGGTAACCATTTATAAAAATTACATTTGAAATTTTAATTTTATGGTTTTGCTTACAATTGTTTTTGATTTTTATTATTTGTTTAAGACTTATATTTTTATTTAAAATGCATTTATTTGATTGTACTGGAAAAATTAAAATATAAATAATTATAAATTAGAAAGAATTAATCTAGACATTTTATTTTTATTACATGAAGAAAAATTATACCTTCAATGGACATAAATAATAAAATTAAAATGAAATTTTTTTTATTTAGTATAGCAAATATTAATAGCATACATAAGTAGAGAATTTTTGCCATCTTTTATGATAGATATAAATCAATTCTCTTTATATTTAACAAATAAATTTATCTATAATATATTTAATGATGACAGATCATTAGGCAGTTTTTTAATAAGGTAATATTAATCAAAAAAATAAAAAAAACTTAAGAATTAATTATTTTATTAACTAACCAAAAATTTAAAATGCCTAGACCTATCAAATAATTCTTCTATTGCCCATTTAATTTAAATGGGCAGTAAGATCAGCTCCATAAGTGTTTTAAATTTTTGGCCTGTTAATTATTAATATTAAATTGGGAACTTTAAATATGGATTTGAGTAACTCAGACTGAATACTATGAACCTGGTGATGGTAGGAATGAAAAACATATATCAGAATTAAAGAAAAAACATGATTAATGCAATAATATCAGATACAATAAATGCTATTCACTATTCGAGTTGTCAGGTCTACCACATTGAATAGTAGACTACCTCTATTTTTATAAAGATCTAATCCACTATACTCAACTAAATACCAATTCTCTTTGCAATTTCTGAAATCTACCACAAATTACATTTTTTTTCTTTTTTCAAAAATCATTGTTTTGCAGAAAATATTTATATAATATACTTATAATTGAAGGATGATTTATTGAATAATGAAATAGGAAAGGCCATAATAGTTTTTAATTTGTGGGATATAAAAAATCTGACCACTAAATAATTTCTTTAATATGTCAGTCCATGACAAATCAAACGTCTTTTGGTCAACCCCTTTCAGATTCGATAATAATTTGTAGGTTAGTAATATCTGAAACGTAATTTTATCTCATTAGCAATTATATTACTTAAGATATTGGGAATTAATAAAAAAACGCCTTTTTTATACTAATATTGAAAATTTAGTTTTAAATTAAAAAAAAATTAGTTACAATATTGAATCTAATATTAATAACTAAAATTGCAAATTAAGGGGAACATCAAAAAAATTTTTTTTTAAATATTGGTCATCTTATGTCCAGTAGAAATATAAGATTAATATTTCGAAATGATATGAGCTTCAATTTCTTAAATTTTTTTTTCTATTTATTTACTATTTTTCTAATAATTTTTCCAATAATTAGCTTTGCTAATAATTATATTTAAAAAAATCTCAAATAATGCACAAAAAAACGTATAGATAGCGCTATATATGAACATTTTTTTTATCGTTTAAAATCATTTTAAGGCATTAAAATTGATTTACGAGTAATATGCTTATTTAATTAAATAAATTTTTTTAGCCACATATTTAAGAATAAATAAATTTTATTAAGAACAATTTATTTTCTATAATCATGATATTACTCTTAAATCAATTATAATGCCTTAAAATGTAACGATGGAAAAGACTTTTTACTGCATTGAAATGTTTATATATAGCGCTATCTATACGTTATTTTATAAATTATTCACGATATTTTAATCTTTAAATAATGAGCCTGCAATTATTGATAATTTGCTAGAAAAATAGTAAAAGAATTATAAGAAAATAAAAATTTTTTAAATTTAAGTTCATAATATATTCAAAATATAAATTTTAAAATGTACATAGCAATATTTTGAAAAAGTTTAATCTTGATGATCCTTTCATAATTATCAATTATTGACTTTGTTATTAATATTAGATTCAATATTCAAACTAATTTAGCTTTTAATTTAAAACTAATTATTTGACATCACTAAAAAGTTAAAACACCCAATTATTTACCTTTAATCCCCATTAGCTCAAATAATATAATTACGTATGAGCTTAAATTTGGTTTCAGATATTACTAGAACATATATATAACGTGCATACAAATTTTTATAGAAATTGAAAGTAATCAGCCGAAAATTTAGATTTTCTTGCAAATCTGACATGGAATACCATTAATATAAGTAAGATCTTGAAAATTAAAATTTTAAAGCAGGGGCCTTTCCACTGCTACATCTATTTTGTATCCATTCTTTTCATACCGCACAATATACCCTTTTACTTATATTTCTTACGGTTTTAATTCCAGTCTTTTCCATCTTTGTTCCTAACATTTTAAATACTATTTAGATCAGTATCGAATTTATTATTCAAATTTCGGAAACATAAATTTACAATTTTGTATTTAAATTGCAAAATTAAATTAGATATAAAAAAAAATTAATAAAGAAATGAATTGATTATGAAATTATAAATTAATTTTCATATAAATAGGATCGATGATATCGCAGATTTAAGGGCACGTTTTACAATGATCGTGTCTAGGAATACGTCCTTTGCATGAACAGCACTGCAGGCTTTGTCATCCCTTCGAGTCAACAGGAACACTACAACCAGAGCAAAGGTGATGTTGGATTGATCAATTGAGACGAATTCCAATGGGATGTGTGTGTTCGTTTTTGATGAGTTGTAATTGAAGATTAACAAAAGGGATATTTCGAGGAGCTCGTGCCCAGAGCCATTTAGAATTGACGAAAAGAGAGGATGGATGATGGAAAACGACCAAATGGCATTACACAAATTCCTTAGAAGAGGGGTCAATTTCTGATTTTTGACTATTCCTGTTTAGATCCCTTAGCCCCACTTAGCACAAACATCTTTGACATCAAAGAGCTATTCAAAATTAATAAATATTCGTAAATATCCAATGAACACATTTTTATACCTATAATCTCCTCTAGGCTGTGCTTTAATCTTCTTCAGGGAACTCGGTTCTCATATTCTTAAAGTTACCGATGAACCCAAGGAAGGTTTTTACCTTAGGCAAAGACTTTCCATCGCCATTCATAAATCCAATCACATCAGTCTCATAAGCTTCCTTCCTAAGGAGCTAGTCTAATTTTTTTTTTAATTCTCTTTTTACAAATTTTATTTTTTTTGTATAACATTTATGTTATTTTTATATTTTTATTACTTGCTTTGATTCGAATTAATATATTATTTATTTTTTTATTAAATGTAAATTGAATTATAGTAAAATAGCGCTTTACCCATCTATCGCTACAAAAAAAGAGTTGCAGCTACTTTAACCACTCTGCTGTAAATATAGTAACACACACAGAGTTAAAATTATGTTGGAGCAAATATATTATTTGTTTGTTTTGGTAATTGACAAATTAGGCATCTCATATATTAAAACATTTTTAGAAAAAAAAATATATATTAAATTTTAAACACTAAATTAATAAGGAGTCACGGAAATTGCATAATAACGGTATATAAACTTGTTTATATACACTTAAATAAAAGGAGTATATTTGTTTAATTTCCTTCTATATTTATTTAATAAAAAAAATTTTTTTAAAAAAAAAATATCTGGCCTTATTAAATTCTCGATATTCCATATTTGAATCTCATTATTTTAACATTTAAGTTGTATCTCTTATGATATATATAAAGTATATTTATATAATATATTATATTTAAAACTGAATTATAATGACAGGAGATTTTGACCTTATACAATATTATTATCGTTTATATTTATTTATTTATTTTTCCCCATAATCTATATTATATATTTAATATTTGGTAAGTGTGTATCACAAGGGATGGGCTATTTATTTTTTCTTTAATAATAAATGATTCCGTCGCTACTCACTTATCTAATATTTCTTCATTCAATATTTTATTTAATTATTTCTTGTATTTTTATTTTGACTTATATAAGGTGTTATTCGCTTCCGCTATCCCACCCCTTGCTCAGGAACCATGATTGCCATAATCTTATTTCAAAATAATGATAAATAGCTTAATAAGAAATATTTTAATTACATTCTAGCCAATTCATATTCAATTAAAGAAGAAGAAAAATGCAGACGATATATTAGAAAAAAAAGTTACATGACTTGATGTAAAACCCTTTAACGTCGAAAATGCTTAGGTGAAAGAGAATTTATAAAATGTAGTTTGTAATTATGTTTTAATGAATGCCGTGCGTTAGAATATACCGAGAAATAATTCTGTATTCAGTTTTGTTATGGCAATTCCGACATATTTTATTGGTAATTGCTTCGACCATTTATTTCGATATATGTCATAATAAAGATCATACAATTTTCAGTTCAAATAATAGTATTAACAAACACCCTTATTGTAGTGAAGATAATATAATTTATAAAAATCAGCCTTCTAAAACACATAAGCCAGATATCACAGACCAACTTATCAATGATCAATCTTATTTCGCATACGATGCTCATATTATCGATTCTGGTTAGTTGAATACTAATATTTATGATTATGAGAATCAAATTTTTTTTTAAATCGTAAATTTTATTAAGTTTATGATATCTACCTTCATTTTTTAATTATTCTATTTGATTACTTGAATTTTTTAAAAGAATATATAATCATTTACAATGATTACCATTCAACTAACAAGCGTAAAGAGTTGTTATATGAAATATCATTATCCTGTGATCTAACTCGCGATAAAACCATATGGAATATAATAGCTCGTAAACAAAATAATCCTTTTGCTTACAAATATCCAAGCGACTTTGACATAGTAAGCATTTAATTATTATATTTTATATATAAATAAAATATGATTATACATTTAACCTTTAAGTTATGAACATTTTTTATTGAGCGTATAATTGAAATTTATAAACATTTAGTCAATCAATCATAATTGTATAAATCAAAAATAAACTTTAAAATGGATCAATCAGATCGCTCTAAACTTAACCAACATATCGTCTGGATTTATTGAACGACAAATCGCATGCTTTAATCAAGATCCTCGTGTCAAAAAAATTATTCCACATTTTAGAGTCACCCGAAAACTTTTACATTCCCCAAACGATATTAATACTGAAATATTTTATTATCAAAATGAGTTCAAGGGAAGGAGGAAACGAATGTCTTTACCATATTCTTTTAATTCCAATGACAGATACACCGATAAAAAAGACTTTAAGAGTTGGTTTTCTCCTTCTACAAACAAGAATAAAATGAGACGTCCTCTTCAAATGAATAGTCAATTCGAGCAGAAAGTATAATTTTTTTTTCAACTTCACACTTAATTAATCTCTTTGAAAACATTATTTTATATATAAAAAATTAAAATGACAGCAATAATCATTTATAGGTCTAATTTATTGTATGAATTACTTTTAGTTTTATCCGACAAATCAAAGATTAGTTTAATAAATTGTAACAAATATTATTAGATATCTCATCTCCTGGGAGCCGACATTCTATGGTCCCTCAATGTAACAGGACGTGGTGTAAGGGTTGGCGTCTTTGATACAGGTCTTTCTTCCCCGCACCATCCTCACTTTCGTAGGATCGCAGGCGTCACCGATTGGACTTACGAATCACTCACTTCCAGCCCTACATTTGATAATAGAGACGAATTTGTAAATAGTGGGCCGGAAATTGTAGGAGCAGTGAGCAGACGGCACGCAGCTGGGGTCGATACCCTTGGTCACGGAACATTTGTGGCCGGGGTTATTGCAGGCTGTTCCGATGTGTGCCCTGGGCTGGCCCCTGATGCCGAGCTTTATATTTTTAGAGTTTTTACTGGTTCGCAAATATCTTACACATCGTGGTATCTGGATGCCTTCAATTATGCCATCATCAAGAAAATTCACGTTTTGAACTTAAGCATAGGAGGTCCCGACTTTCTGGATCACCCATTTCTCGATAAAGTTTGGGAGATGAGCGCCAACAACATGATAATGGTTTCCTCCATTGGGAACGATGGTCCAATAGCAGGATCTTTAAATAATCCTGCCGATATGATAGACGTTATAGGAGTGGGGGCCATCGTTTTTAATGACAAATTAGCTCCATTCTCATCTCGAGGAATGACTAATTGGGAATTGCCATATGGATATGGCAGGGTCAAACCAGATATATTAACTAACGGTTTTGTTTACGGTACCGGAATTAACGGAGGTTGCCGATCTTTGTCTGGAACGAGCGTTGCCTCACCAGTGGTTACAGGAGCTGTAGCTTTATTACTTAGCGCCATCTTTAAATATTATAACGATACCCGTCAAACCAACCTAAAACTTCACAACGTCGCCCTCATAAAACAATTACTGATGGCCGGCGCATCCCGCCTCCCCTCAATTTCCATGTTCGATCAAGGACATGGAAAAATGGATTTGCTCAAATCTTATCAACTCCTTCAAGCTTACGCGTTTTCTTCTTTTAATGGTCATAATAGTTCTTCCTATGATAATTTTGATGACACTAACGATGATAAATCTAATGCTCAAAATGTTAAAAATGTCACAATTTCGCAAAAAATCTCCGATAATATCGAAAATAACTCTAAAAAGATTATTAATATAATTGAGAGTACTCATATAAGAAACCTTAAAACTCTCGATAAAATTTATAAGATTCGATATGGAAGATTGATTCCTTCTCTCTCTCCTCCTTATTTAGATACGGCCGGTGCTTCAGAATGTCCTTATATGTGGCCATTTTGTTCTCAACCTATTTACTTAACCGCTCAGCCCTTGATAGTTAATATTACCATATTAAATCCCGTTGCTTCTGCCAGTACATTAGTTGATAAACCCACCTGGCATCCTTATTCCCGCGAAAATGGCAAATACTTACATATCAATGTGGCTCACTCATCCCCGGTCCTATGGCCTTGGTCCGGTTGGATAGCCATTCGCGTGACGGTTAACCAGCTTACAGCCCCACCTTTATGGGAAGGAGTAGCTTGTGGTCAAATCAATCTAACCTTACGCCATATTGGAGCCGATATCGATACTGTTTCCAGTACTAGTACAGTAATATTTCCACTGAGAATTAGAATTGTAAGAAAACCGCCTCGTGATAAAAGACTTCTATGGGACCAGTTCCATAACCTCAATTATCCTCCTGGTTTTTTTTAAACTTGATTTCTATTATATTACAAAATGCAAAGCCTTCACCATCTACGAGTGAAGAGTTTGAATATAAAGATATAATTTGTATAATAAATTGTTTCTACAGTAGTGGCCACCTTAAAATTATCTCAAAACATCCTTGAATAAATAACTTAATTTCAGTTTTTATTTTGCACATATATTTTTTAATATTCATATTGGAATAGGTTAGATTGCTTAATAATATTTCGGAGGAGGCTTAGATTATAACGCAGCTTTCGAGTCCCATAATAATGTTTAAAATATACAAACAAAAATTGAACGTTTTAAAATGCTTTTTTCAAAAAATTTAGAATTTTTTTTTAACGTTTTTACATTCAAAATTTTTTCATGCGGGTAGTTGTATATTTTTTTTGCCATTTAATATATAAATGACGTAATAGGTAAATATATAAATAATCATATTTTTAGCAAATGGACATTGCTTTTTTCATACGGTAGTTTAACCTATATTCACAATTAGCGGCGAAGAATACAATATTATATTTCTATAATATTTGTATACTTCGTCGCGAATTCGTGCTAACTGTGGGCGCAGGGTTGGCGACATTTTTATGGGCATGTCGAACTGATGGGTATAACCTTTCAGTTCTATTCCGGTTTTTAGTTTGAAATTTTAAAACGATTTGGTTCCATTTCGATTATTTTTGAACAACTTTATATCTGTTTAATAAATCAGGTTTATTACGGTTTTTATAAGTTTTGGGTTTTTTAAATTAATCATGATATATTTTATTAATTGACTCTTAATAATGTGATAAAAAAATATTTAAAAATTACTTACAAATAACAGGCAAACAAAATTATTTTATTGGAATAAGAAATAACAAATTACATGATATATATATTAGAGGTCTGCATTGGGCGGAGTTTCGGCCTGCCCGCTCACCCATCTAAGTGGGCGGGTAAAAAATTTTTAAAACGGGCAGGCGAGCAGTCGAGTTAAAAAAATTTCAAACTATGAGCAGGTGGGTGGGTGAGTTAAGGAATAACAATGGGCAGGCGGGTTAAAAAAATTTTAAATCATTTAAGTAAATATTAATAAAAAATTGTTCATATGAACTTTTTTGAATATTAAAAATTAAAATGTCCTTTTTTGGTATCATAAAAACTTTTTTATATATTTAAAACTACTTTGTTTGAAACGACAAGAAAGAGATTTGCCAAAGCTATCAAGATTAACAAGAAAAATATTAGCGATTCCTGCAACTAGTGCTTCTTCTGAACGAGGATTTAGCATTGCTGGAAGGGTTTTAGAACAAAGAAGAACGTGTTTGAATCCAGAAAATGTTGATTCATTATTATTTTTACATTATTAATTACACATAATATCAATTTTATATTTATAATATTTTCATAAATATTTTATTTGATCAAATAAATTATCCATAATTTAAATTGAATATTTTTTAATGCTTACTTAATATAGTAATTTCCTAAAACCTTTTTATAGAATATCTGAAATTTTTTTTATTAGATGCCTAAAAAATTGAAAGAATCGCCATAATTAAATTTGATAATAGCGGGCTTATTTTAAATTTTTTTTATAAATAATGGGTGGGCGGGTAAAATTTTAGACTAATGGGCGGGTGGCTAAGGAATTTTATACTAATGGGCGGGTGGCTAAGGAATTTTATACTATTGGGCGCGCTGGCGCGTATATTTTTTGAAAATTATGGGCGGGCTGGACAGGCGGGTTAAATTTTTTAAAACATTGAGTGGGCGGGCTTAAGGTCCAAAAACCCGCCCAATGCAGACCTCTAATATATATATCATAAGTACGTTATAAATTTATACTATATTTAAAAAAGTATTATTTAGTATCGTGTGGTTAAATCACTCGTTTTTAAACAATTTTTAAAAACGGTTAACTTAATATTTTATACATAAAAATATTATGCAAGCCTAAAGATTTAGCTCATAGATGGCACTAAGTTTGGACATATATTCGCAAGATCTTAATAATTGCGTAATATTTTTTTTCCTGAATTAAATATTGAGTTAGCCTTTAAAAATCTGGCTCAAATCGAGTTACTATTTAAAATTAAAAATATATTATCAAAACCCTCTAAAAGTCCGAAATTTATAACTGTTCATTTCAGTTTCGTAAACCCACCCTAAACATTATAAAAGAGATAAATGAGCATCCATAATTAAAATAATGAATGTTGATTATATATATATATTAATCTCCAATAGACCTAAGCGAGCTGGACCTAATTTTGATATTATTTTCTGGATTGATCTAAAAAAAGAATTAATTATACTATTTTTTATATTATTAATTAACATTTATAATATTATCCAAATAAAATTTTAATTGATAATTTTTAAACTCTTCTTTTCAATATTTGAATTCATTTTTCTCATATCCGCCGCCTTCACCTTTATCCACGTCATCTTAGGCATTCCTCGAGGACTTGATCCTCCTACTTATTTAACCAGTCATCTTTTATCTTACGTTCCACGTGTCCAAACCATCTAAGTTTATTTCTTCTCATGGGCACTCCAATCACTTCAATTCCCATTCTTGCATTAAACAATATTTGTAAAATGTATTTTTGGTTTTCATATATCTAATCGCTAAAATTTTTGGATTTTCATGCAACAGTAGATTTGATTATCCAATTTTTTCAAACACTATGCTATGACCTTAGCATAGAGATCAGTAAAATCTCTTTAGTACATATAATACATAATATAACATTATATGTTCAAAAAAAGGTTATCTACCCCGTGATAATTTACTCCACAAAGAAGAACCAATGGACTGGAATGGTGATCATCTTCACACTAATTATCGTGGATTTTACAATCACGTGCGTAGACAGGGTTACTACGTGGAAGTTTTGGCGTCACCTATCACGTGCTTTGATCCACTTGACTACGGAGCACTACTGCTGGTTGATTCCGAGGAAGAATTCTGGCCTGGAGAGGTGCATAAACTTCGCGGGGATGTGGAAAATGCAGGGTTGTCTTTAATTGTCATAGGAGAATGGTATAATACGACCGTTATGAAACGGGTCAAATTTTACGACGAGAATACCAGGTTTGTTTATATATTCATTATAATTGGTAGTTAATGTCCAAAAATTCAAGTTAGCAATTCTATAAAGTCTTATTTTTATTTTATATGTTAATCAATCTATATATATTGATCAAAATTTAGCCATCAATCCGCTCTTATGTGGTCACCTTATTATATGGAAGTTTCGCTTAGTTTGAGAGAGATAAAAATAATTGAGAAAATTAAAGAAAGATTTTTTTTTAAATATATATAACTTTTTGTGTTTATAACAAAAAGGCATTGGTGGATTCCCGACACTGGAGGGGCTAATGTACCAGCCCTTAACGAATTACTCTCCCCCTGGAATATAAGTTTGGGGGATCAAGTTTACGAGGGTCAATTTTCGATCGCCAAACATATAGTCCATTTTTCTTCCGGTACTTCAATTACAAATTTTCCTTCCCATAATTCTTACCTGTTCACACCGAATCTTAAAGATCAAGGTATTTAATGTTTGGACGATATCGTGATGAATAATACATATTTTAAAAATTGCATAATTGAAGTTCCAAAATAAATTTAATTTTTTTTTTTGAAATATTTTTATGGGGCTAAAAGGTTATTCCGTTATCAACGAAGGTTCTAAACAAAACTCCCTAAAATTCATAGTAAAGACCGTCCCAGTTTTGGGTTTGTATCAAACGCTAAACAATGAGAAGGATACAAATACTAAAGGCAAGATTAAACCAGGCAGGATAGTTGTCTATGGAGATTCTAATTGTTTGGATAGTTTGAGAATGACAAAAGGTTATAATCTTTTATATTAAATTTTTTTATCCCTTTCATGTCGATTTTTATTATAAGAAGATACAATGATGGATTATTTAATACATATTTTGTTTTCGTATATCATCATTTTCAATCAAATAACCATTATATCTTGTGTTATCAAACCGGCGAAGCCCATTCTCGAGGCAACCCTAGGATAAATGCTTATTATGAAACTATTCTAACTCTAACAGATCCAAATGATATTTAAAATGTCAAACAACTCTACATTTATATAACAACCCTTAGATTGTTTTGGCTTATTGGACGACTTACTAACTTATGCTACTCAAGGTGTTCTAAGTCCCGAACTTATAGCTAATGCTGACAACTACACCTTCGATGTACCCGTTGTTTTCCCCACCAGACTTCCTGGCAATAAATTGCATAGATATTCTAAAGTTCTAGCTTCTGTGGGAAGTTTTACACCCACTCTGGAAAGTAATTTATCATATATTGTATATTTTTTAAAATATTTACATAAATCGTAATAAAGTTAGAAAAATATTGAGGCTTAAATTTTTTTTAAAAACTATTTGATTTAAATTTTAAAAATAAGATAGGGTTTAAATCAGGGGCCTGGAACCAAACGTTTTCGGGGAACGGAATTTGGGAGTGGAACATGAAATGAAAATAACAGGGATCCTGGGAACGTTCCGAAAAATAATAATAGCAACTCATAGAAATTCGTTTTTCACTTTCTTAATTCCAGTTTTATTCACATAACAATATTATTACCCATCATTTAGCATTATTATATGATTTTTAAGAATTACGGAATGTTTTTGATACATTGAATGGAACATTTTTTTGAAACAAAACACGAACCTAAAAGGCCTTTTTTCCAAGTGCCTGGTTTGAATTGAATAATTTTTTTAGTGATGTTTTTACTATCTTTCATGAAATTAATAAAGTTTAATTAGATTTTATCTTAATATCTAATGAACGCTGTTTATGTTTTGCCTCATCTACCATTTGATCTTTTGTCTCACAGACCTTAAATGGGATGTTTGTTTCTATATTTTTTTCGCGTTTCTGATTTTTAACATGTATTTGTTTTAGTGATGGTCAACGTTCCTGATTTCTCGATTTGGACCGAACCATTTAAAACCGATTTCTCGATCTGTTTTTGTAATGTCTTTGGTTCAGTTTGGTTTGAACCGAAAGAAAAATTATATATTGTCATTTTTTAAAAAATAATTATCAAATAAATTTTAATAATATCAAGAAGTCTCAGAATCTTTTCAAGTTTTATTCATACGCTAAACTAGATCCTACCTTTTTATTCATATATTAAGTGTACTCTTACTAAATATTATCTACCATTAACGACGTTAAAATCTAAAATGTAAGCTTAAACTGTGATAAAATATATAAATAGATTTTGGAAATTCAAGTTAAATAATTTCTAAATCTCACTTGGCAAAAAGAATTTAAAGTCAGTGTTTCAAAAAGGTATATTAGATTCGATTAAAATTATGATTTATGAATACATTTATATATATCATATACAATAGAGCATAACCATTAGTAATATTAGTAGTGGTTATCTTATTTTATATTTATCCTTTATTTAAATATCTATCTTTGCCTGTGTAATTGGAATATTCTTATTAGCTAGGATTATTTGAAAATTCAAACAACTATGGTTCTTTGCAAGCAATCTCTAAAGCAGGCGACCTAGTACCTTAGAAAATTATCAAGCAAAAGGATAAAATCTATTATATGGGTCTAGGCTCAAAAATGGAATAATCTAAAATTTTACATCAAACCTTATTGAAGATTATATTATTATTCTAAATAATGTTTTTGCTGTTGTGTTAGGCTTAGGCCTAGTTATAGCAAACGCGACAATAGTGGGACATCGCATCACTTTCAAAATACCAAAGGTTAAATTATACAGCTTATGCCATATTTTAACAATGAATTATCACGTAATTGACATCGCGGTTACTACATATATTTACAAATAGATGAAATTTTATATGTGTATTTAAAACCAGATTCAGGGTTTGGTCTTTAGAATCTGTCTCTCTGTTCCGTTTTTAAATATCCTCTCTGAACCGGACTTAACCATGACCTTTGCTAGTTTAAATTATACGTTCAATTTTTTGCTTCCCTTTCCATTAATGTATAAACCAAAAATATATACAAAACTAGACCAGAAGCTTGCCTTTCCCCATCCCGATAAAAATTTGGTATCGACACCCCATCCGGACGATTCTGACAAAGCCAATACATACCACAGCAAAAAACTTACAAATGATAAAAAAATAAATAACGCTATGACAGCTAATAAAAACTATAACGAGGAAAAACGAAACACTGATATCATAAAAAAGGATAAAGATAAAAATGTCACGATCGATAACGATGACGTGGGTTTACATATGAATATCCTTAAAAATGTCAACGATAACATAATCCATAATAATGGCAGCCAGGAAACGATCCCCCTCAATTTGAAACCTTTACCTTCCTGCCAGGAGAATTCCAAGCGTTTATCGTTTTTCTCTCCAGCCTTGGGCCGACCTTTAGACCTTAAATTTAGTCAACAACTTTCACATCTCCGCGGGCCCTTCGCTACATTTTTAGCGGAACGTGGTGATAAAAAGGGAGTTGATTCTACGATACTTAAAGAAGTTAAAGATACGATAAATGTGAGTTTTTTAAAAAATATATGAGCAATAGGATTTTAAATTAGAATTATTGGTAAATATAAATTTAGTTGTTTTTTTGGGGGGGGGGGGGGGTAATATTACGAACGAACGTTTTATTTATTTACTAAATCATTTTTAATTTTCACTTATTGCACAAAATAATAAATAATTAAAGATTGCTCTACAAATGAAAAATTTGGCACAAACAACTCCCGTATCTATTCGAGACATTTCATCCATTCCTCCTTTAATTCGCGATTATGCCCCAAATAATTATGGTGAGGAAAGCTTATTGGATACTAACCATTCCATCGGAATCATTTATTATCTTTTATCATATCTCCGGATCTCTCCGACATTCCCTTTCGTCCCCGTCAAATCTTTATGCTTACTAGGAATATTTCTTTTCCTAGTCACTCTAGTAAAATTTTACCGCAGTTACGTAAAAATAAATCGCAATCATGACGCCGATAAATCTGGCCGCAAAAGATTTCACAAAAAAACCAGTATTCTGCCCAACTGTTTTAAAAATTTATATCCAACCCTCCGACAAAAGTTTCAGAAATTTGTTGAGGGAGATGCGGTCAATCAAAGAGTAGCTTCTAATGAAAAGGCTTGTATAAACAAAAAGGGAAGGCGTAAAAAATAGGTCATTTTTTTAAGCTCTAAAATCAGGTGGTGTTTGATGCATTTTGGGGTTGCTATAGCAAAAAAATTTTTAAAAAATTCTTCTCGTTTAGTTGACTTATTTTCAACGAATTAAATCACAATCAATCATTGAGCGTTTATAACATAATAATTACAATTTATCGATCATATGATTTCTTTGAACATAGTAATTTATTTTTTGAATTTATATAATAGAATGGGGATTAAATAAATTTTAAATAATAAAAAAAAATGTTGATACTTATACCTTCTTACGTAATAATAATGTCTCAGATACAAGATACTCTTTTTTTTATTAAAAAATTTATGTTTGTATACAAAATTTGTGAGCTCGGTATATAGCGCACCCGGGTTTTTGGAAATTTTTTCTGAACTCAATAACATTTTAAAAGTCTCCGAAAAATAACTAACATAAAAGAAAATCACTTTTTAAAATTTATTTTAAATAAGAGAAAATCGAAAAGGGTCAAAAATAAGAAAGGAAACTCGAAAAAGATCAAAATAAAAATATGAGGTAAAAAAGGAAATAAATTTTAAAAAAGTAAGGGAAAAGGTCAAATAAAATGAGGTATAAAAGGAAAGAAAATCGAAAAGGGTCAAAAAAGGAGGTAAAGGGAAGAGAATCTTAAAAATTGGGTTAAAATAAAAGGATCTAAAAAAATTGTTTTTAAATTTAAAAAAAATTAATAATCGCTGGAGAAATAAATTAAAAATTATTAAAAAAAATACTCAATTGAGTTTTTTTTGTGATCTTGCGTGGAGTATTAATTGTATTTTGCGTAGTTTAAGCAGTTTTTAAAAAATATTCTTAGTCTAATAATGCTGTATATGAGGACTATCAACCATTTTTGTCATTAAAATCATTGCCGTCATCTTTTTACATAAAAATTAAGTAATAAAGAAGAAACCTTAATATTAAAAAAGCCATCAATGAAGAGAATTCATTTTTATTTATAAATAACAGATATTAAATTATATAATTGATTGATTACATTTAACAATACATATCAAAAAATTCACTAAAAATATCTTCGTCGGATCAAATCACATAGGATTAGTTTCTGGTTAAAAATCATATGAATCAAATCACATAGGATTAGTTTCTGGTTAAAAATCATATGAATCAATTCAATATAAAATTTAAATATAATATCGAGTTTTCAATATATGAGGAATATAAAGAATTTTTAAAAATAATCCTTTCAGTGATTTTTTTTAAACAAATTATCTAACTGGACTGGCATTCATTAACTAGAATCAAGATCAGTAAATGAGTCATCTTCACCTGAAAGAGAATCTGAAGAAGATTGGGAAGAATAGAAATCTCCTATCCTATTCGAGCCAGAACCAGCGTGAATTTGTACCCAACATCTTTCTATCCTCTGAGTACCTTTCTTTTTTCGCCTTTAAGTTTAACAAATGAGTGAGAATAATTATGGATAAAATTTAATTGTAATAAAATATTCAAAAATCCATCGATTAAAAATTTTTTTATTCCTAAAACTAAGGAAAATACTTTTTCTAATCAAATTTTTTGTTTATGCAATCATTTAAATAAAACTTTGGAGAATTATTATCATTTCGAGATATTAATTTATTAAATATCTAATGAATTCTAAGATCGCCGGAGGAAGGGGGGGGATTCAAAAAAGAATAAAGAAATAACTAGAAGATAAACCCTTTGTTTCCCACGTTCAAATCCAGCTTATAAAAATCGTCCAATATAAGCGTCCTATCACTATCTCCTTTTTTGTTTTTTCCTCCTGTATCCTCATCGAGTTCCAATATGGCGCTCGCTTCAATCATTCCCCCAAGTAAGAAAAGGGTCAGTTGTCCTGCAGAAGTACGTAAGACAGTTGCGCAAGATTTCATCCTCGGACCAGGTCTTACGTGATCACACCTATCGGAAATATCTTTTTTTTCGTCTACATTATTAGTAATACTATTTTGGATGCTATTTGTATTATTTAAATCTCCGTGGTTCGATGTTAAATTTACGGAGTCAAACTCTTCGTCAAGATCTTCTTCGTCCGAAATAAATCTTCCGTTTTCTCCCGTTTTCGGTAATAATTTGACCCGTTTCAAGCTGAAAGGTAAAGATTCGCTTTCTTTGGATAGTTGAGCGATAGCAGTATTAGAATATGAGGTAGGGTCATTGATGTGTCGTTTGAGGATGGGGAAAGGTACCCATGTAGAGGAAGATACGTCGAATTGGTATATGTCGTTGTAGAAAACGCTTTCTTATAAATATTTTTTAAGATTTATTAAGATAATATAATATATTATTATAATTTATATCGTGCAAAATTGAGACACAAAGCATTTTTTTTTATATTATAAAAACATTTTTACTTTCCAAATCTTATTTTTATAAAAATTTTATTTAAAACTTGTCCTATTTTTTTTAAAAAATCTACACATTTTGAAATTTAGATTTTTGCAAATTATAAGAAAGCATCAAGATTTTAGTATAATCACCCCCAACTTAAAGTCATTTTTTTCCTAAAAAGATTTCAAATCGAAAATTAAATGTACAAAAAGGTGTCAAGAAATCTGTAAATCATAAGAAAAAATTCACTTAAGAAAATCTGTTTCAAGATCACTATAATAACCTTTCAGTTGTGTGATGTGGGCTGATAAATCATTCTTAACACAACATAATGTATTTTTAAATATTAAGTTTTCTGGCTTCATCCATTATACACGTTTTACCCAAAATGATATCAATAATTTTTAAGAAGTAGGGTCTAGCGTGCTATAATTTAAAAATATTTTAAAAAAACAATCTGAAAAACTCGTCTAAATGCATCAAATCAGACATAAGTTATATTTTAAGCAGAGTTTAGAAACCGGAACTAGAGCCCTACTATCTTCTATAATTTATGGGAACCAGAACCCATATAAAAATTTTCAAGAAGCCATTTCTAACAAATCTGTAATTTATATTATGTTTAAAAAGTTGTGTCACTCATTTTAAAGGGCTTATTTATTATTTAAATTTTTTTTGAATAAATAGACTTTGTTAGAACCCGGAACCGTGTCAAATTTAGGAGGCGGAACTTTTTCAAAATTTTAGTAACCGGAACCATTTTTAGTTCAGATTCCAAATTCTGATTTTGTTGGTAGCCATATATCTATGAAAAATGTTTGAAGAAATATAAATGGCTATCCTGCTTAAAAAATAAAATGAAACATTCAAAATATTAATTTTTAAAAAAATAATAATAATTCTAAAACCACATATAAGTTCTTCCGTTTGTTCCTTGTCAAAAACACCCCCGAACAGCAATACTCTATCGGTTCCATAATTAACAGACACGGCCCCGCATCTCTGAAAAAGACTTTGATCTTTGTGCAGACATCCACCCATCTTTTGCTTAACCGCGGTCCATCTCCATACCATTGGTATGGCTGTATTTTTGTCGATGTCTGATAAAATAAAATTTATTTTATAACTGAGTGGAAATGTATCAAATCCGGTTCCCTTTTTAGACCCGCCGATTTTTAAATATCTGAACCGGGACCGGATATTCTCTTCAAAAATTTATAGGAACCAGAAATAAAATAATTCTTAGATGGGCATTGAATGTCGATTAATCTGTTGAAGATAAACTAATAAATTTAAATATATTTTAAATTTATTTCCCACGTATATAGGAGAAAATTATAAATGAAAAATTTTTTTTAAAAAAATATACAATTTCATTTCCCTTTTTTTAAAAAAAATAATATCTTTACTCTTTAAATCCGGAACCAATTTGTACATATCGATTAAATTTTGACCGGTCCCCACTTCCAAATTTTTCTTATTTTCGGTTGAACTTCCTTTCCCGTAATTCACGGTGTAGCCCCAAAAGAGCAAAATACCCTCATTTTCATCTGTGTCCTGTTCCCAATGTTTTAAAAGTATTTTTTTAAAGGCTATGTTCAGACGTATTATTTTGTCTTTTTATTTTTAAATGGCATTAATCCTGACTTGATTACCGTTTTTTAAATACGACATATTTTAGATGTAAGAAATAGCAGTGTTGTTAAAGTAATTAGTCACATTCCTGCGAATAAGTAATTGAAAATGCAACCAGTATCGTTACTTTTTAATATTTGATAAATATACATAGCTTTTATTATCTTTATTTGATGATTTTCCAAATTTAAAATCACTGGCTATTTATAATGCCGCATTTACATAAAGCGGTCCTGTACCTGTAGAACGTTTGTTTATTCTAGGGAAGATTAGGTCAAATTTTTATGAAAAATAAATATTATATTTGTGTGATTTATTTTTATATCTTTTCGGTGCAAATATATATTATAATCATTATATTTTTTTGTTCAATGGTAGTGCAATTAGTTTTTGTTTATATTGTATTTAACTTTATAAATTAATAAGATTATATTTTAACCTGATGGGTTAATTATTTATAAAGTAATTTGCAATGCAAATAGTTATTTTTGTAAATTAAGTTGGTTACTTTTTTTTTAGGATTTAACGAGTAACTGGGTAAAATAACTTTTAAAACTTTTAAAAAATAGCTATTGTAAGCTCCTTTTTTTAACTCTTAATAAACTTATATCCCTCTCTTTTCTATTCAATCGATAGTTTAACTAATTTAGTAATAATTCTTCTTTTTCATAAGCCTATGTCCAAATTTTTTTAAAAAAATTCGAAAAGTTTTAATATTTTAATAAAATTTTGAAATTTTTTGAAATTAACATGTTTTTATTTATATATTTTTTTAAAAAAAAGCTTATACCTTCTTTTTTAATAGCTTCAAAAGTGTGCTAATCAAATTTTTTGATATTTTGGACACAAAGTAATCAAGTTTGGAAGCAACCTATATAAAATTTTGTTGTTTTCCTTTATTTTTCTTAAACCTTATTTGTTTCGCGTTGTTTAGATGTCTTTTCATCGAGCGTCGATGACGAATCGAGAGACGTAATATTTTTTAATTTATTATCAGTGATTTTGTACGGTAAGAAGTGAAAAGCCGAACGAGGCGAGGGAGGTATGCCTTTCTGATTTTTGATATCTATATTCATCCAAACCCTGTTTTCGGTGTGGAACAAGTAAAGATCGTTAAAGTATTGACAGTACCTGATTAAAGAAAACGAAATATAGGTGTGATTAGCGCTCTGTCAAATTGAATCTTTAAGCCCGGTCCAGCCAGTATTTTTATTTTTACACTTCGAGCCAGATCCGAAAATAAATTTTATTTTAAAAAATATTTAAATTAGTGCTTTTTTATCGCAGGTTTCAAGGACCGATTAAAAAAATGGTATTCTTTGAAAGAGTCTAGCTTGAAAATATAAAAAACCGGTACAATTATACAAATAAATCCATTGAAAAAAATATTATAATGAGGTGATTAATATTCATTTACTGTCATATCAATTTTTTTTTGAAACAATTTACAAAATATAGCCTAAATTATTCAAAATAAATCTTAAAAATTCCGGGCGGGGCATAAGATAATCAGAAATAAAAAATACTGAGTCGGGGTCGAAAATGTCATTTTTTTCAAATTTGGGCTTAAAATTTTGACCTCTACTCTCAGATGAAAGGTGATCATTGTGATTAGAGGGAAGTACGCTATCATCATTTGAATAAAATTGGAGGGATAGGGGGGGGGGGGGTTGTTTTTATTTTGATTTTCTTTTTTTGCTAATTTTGATATGGTAGTAAGATTTAGGATAGGAGGTAAAAATTCTGAGGAGGGTGATTAAATTGTCATTGGTTTAGGGGAGTGTAATCCTTGTTGTCTGTTTCTACTTATTTCACATTTTTTTTTAAATTTTAAGCCCTAGCCCAACCGAAATTGCAGGGTCCTAGTGCGTGGTTACCCAAAAAGTTAAATTATAAGAATACTTGTTTGTGAAAGAATAATATAATCAATATACATAGAAAGACCAAAAAAGAATCGAATATTCAATTAATTCTGACTAATTTGAATTGAATAGTAACGAGTACGAATAGTACATTTTGTTCGAATAAGAATAAATAATTCTTCGAATGGAATTCTTTGAATATTCGAATCATATTTTTCGGAATAATTATTGATATGTTCCTTTTTAAATATAATTTAATCATTGTATCGATAACCTTTTAATCCGACAAGTGATATCATTAACAAGGTACATTGACTTAGTTGGAACTAATTTGTTGTCAAAAAATAGTATGCTTTAGAAAATAATAAGAAAAACTACTTTCCATTAGCTTAGCATTATAAATTAGATTAATATGCATTTTAATTTCGTTAAAAACTTGATCGAATATCACCAATTTTTATAATAATTTTTTCCGTTTAAAATTTTGTGAAATAAAAAATAAAATTTTCTATCAAAGTATTTTCGTATGAATTAGTTAAAATATATTATTTTTAAAAAAACCAAATTATTCGAATCTGATACAAATGGTTAATTTTATTATTTCTACAAATCGCCGCCTGAGAATTAGCTTATTCTATATCCACTTTTTGTCAAAAGTGACTTTTTTTACATAAATCAAATTTTTATAATTATACAATTATATATATAAAGAAAAATTTGAAATATAAAATAAGGCAAATTATAGCCAATATAAGGTTAAATATCCTATCGAAAATAATATAAACTTGATTTTTTAAATTCTTCTCCTGAAATAAAAAAAAGTGGAGTTAGAATAATCTAATTCTCAAGCTAATAAATAATGAAAAGAATAATATAATAGAATATTAATAATGCGCTCTTTCGTTCATATTACAAAATTTCCATATTATAGTTGTCCAATTAGGTATTAATTGTCGGTTATTTTTAAGCTAGAGTACTTCTTCGGGATATCTTAAATGGCTCAAATTTGTATTTTTTTTAAACCGTATAAAACAATTGTATCATTTTTTTTCAAATGAGGTGGGAGTTTAAATTTTAGATAAAACTGGTTAATATGTTTTTCATAGTTTTTTTTAAAATATATTTTCAATACATTATTTTAGACATTGTTAACTTAAATATTCATTTCGGTATAAAATAATTACTCCCAAAAATTATAAAATTATTATTTACAATTTATATGGTGTTAAAAAAAATTCAATTTAATATTGAAACTTTTCGTTGTTAAAGAATCCTCCAAATAAAACGATAATTTTTTTGAAAGCAACCATCCTGTGTCCACTCCTGGGTGAGGGCGCTCTGGGTGAACTAATATAATAAATAATCAATTTTAATGTATAAAACGATATGCATTTTTTAATACTTTATCTCTTGATATATTTTATTTTAAAAAAATTTGTTTAGATCTTATGAGTTGATATCTAAAATATTTTGCTATCAAAAATGGGTTTACCTTAATTTTACAAATTCTTACTTCAACTGATAATTTTTTAATAGGTTTAATTTTTAATGAAATTAAGTATTTTTAATTTTAAAAATGAAAACTCTATCTTTTCCCATTTTTGTTGAATTATATCGAAAAGCCAAAGATCGTTGTAATGATGGATTTGAACATGAGATTTAGTTATAAATTCCCCTCCAAATAGCCATAATTGCCCACCTGAATGAGCGAAGCTCACCATCTATAAAATATTTAGCTAGTTATTGTATATAAAGAGAATCCAAATATGATGACCACTAGTAAAAATTTCTCAAAATTGGTCCTTTATTTCAAAACACACTATACTGCAATTAATTAATAAGGATATATTTTGAGTTATTAAAATATATACATTAAAACAAATTTAAAAAAATATAATTTATCTTTTAATATCATTTTTATGATCATCCCCATAATTAAAATTCCCTGGAATAAAAAAGTGAGGCCTATATATCTCCCTCTCTTCCAAAATAAATATAATGTCACTAAAAACATTTTTTTAACAAGTATAACTTAATAATTTCAATTTAATTTTCAGAAAATATATTTATTTAAAAGACCTTTCAAATAATATTTATAAAGAGAAGTACTGCCCAAACGCCTCCCATTTCTTAGAAAATAATGGTTAAGTATGAGGGATTAATCTTCTTATAATCATATGGACATATTGTATTATGTCAATGAAACTTAATATAAAAAAATTACTTGATGTGAAGATCGTGGTGGAGGCATTATTTCACAGAATATTTGAAACCATTCATTTTTGTGTGGTGTGTAATAAAAAAAATCATTGTAAAATGTCACCTTGAAATTTTTAAAATATTATAATATATGCATGAAAGTGAAAGAGTATAATTAAATGATTTTAAAAAAAAATTCAGACATAAACAATTATTATATGATTTTAATAAAATGTTAATTATAATTAAAAAATAATTACAAATATAATTTAGAGATATATAAAACTAACATTTTACTTCTTTTCCGTTGTCATATTCACCTCCAAATAAGTATATAATTTCTTTATTTGGATGTGAAATAAAAGTTGAATTGGTTCTGTGGATATATATATACAAATTAATCGCCTTAATATTTACCTGGGAGATGGATATGTTATGTTTTCAATTTTAAAAATTTTTGGTGTATCATTAAGATGTTTTAAAATAATACTTTCTATATTTTCCTTTTAAGAAACATATCATAAATATCTGTAAAATATATACTTCTCCCGCATTTTTGATTTCTTTGTTTAATTTTCTATCTAATAACTTTTCTTCTTTAGCATTTAAACGTTCTTGTTTAGCCTCTTTGTTTTTTCGTTTTTTACCCATGCCAAAATTTAAAAACAAATTTTATGAATGTTTGAATAATTGGGTTATTTTTTATAATCATTGAATGCTTTAATATTTCTGGCTAGGGCTAAACATATACGTAACATCAGGGCTAGGAGGAGGAGGTGGTTACGAAGAAATTGCTTTATAAAATAACACACCTTTGATTTGTTTTAAATTCGTTTTCTCAATGAATAAAAAAATAGCAAATATTGCATTCCCATTATAGCTGTGTATTTATTTGCGTTGTTAAAGTGCCCAATTCGGGGTGATTTTAAAAAACGGTCCGAGATAGATTATAACCAAAATATATTATGTCATAGAGATTTTGCACATAGCTAGCAGAAATGCTTAGATATCTATTTGCCAAATCTCCATGCATACATAATATTATTTTAGCTAAAATTTTAATCGGGCAGTTTTAAAAAATCCAGCTTTTTAACAAAATTGGTATTTATACTAAAAAATTTTACAATAAAATAAAATTGAATTTTAAATTATTTTATTGCTTTTCCCATGCCCATAAAAAATCAAATCCCTTTATTTACAGATATCTTATCTTCCTTCATTTCTCAGGAATCAAATAATCCAATCATTATAGTTTAGAAAAAGAGATAAGTTTGTCAAAAATGATAATAATAATAATAGGTATTTTGGGTCAAATTTGGGAAAACTAACGTGGAAAGTAGTAAAACAATAATGATATATAATATTATTGTAAAACATTAAAAATTGAAATTCTCATAATATTTAAATGAATAAGACTTTTTGCTTAATCTGCTACTAATTTGGGTGTCAGCATTTAAATTCAAAATGAGCATATTAAGGCTTATATAAATTTCATTAGCAGACTATCATTTGTGACTTATAGTATATGAGTATTCATATGCACATTTAATACTGAGTATAGAAGACTTACCCATTTATAAAATTTGATATTAAAATCTTAACATCCCCGAAAAAATGTGCTAATAACAATTGTAAATGTCTGATTCCCTGTAGCCTTTTGGAAAACAAAGCAATAAGGAAATATGAGATTCTAACCAGCGCTCAAATTATATTTAAAAATATGGAAAAAATTCGATAAAATAATACAAAGAATTAAAATTTAAGCAATTGTGTAATAGTATAAATTAGTGGTCACAAAGGGGTAGCCAGGGGGGGGGGGGCTAGGGGAAATTCCCCTCCCCCCTCCTTTCAGAAATTTATTACTTTTCCTGAATATCATTTTAAGCTAATAAAAAATATCCCCCTTAGTCCTCCCCCCACTCATTGACCCGCAAAAATGTATGCACTTAAACAATAATTTGAAAGAAAGAATGTAAAAGTTAATATTTTTTATAAAAATATTCATCAATAGTTATACATTTTTAGAAAAAAAGCATTTATATATAAAAAAAAGTGAACCAAAAATGCTTTTTAAGAAATGGAATATAAGATAAGTCTTAAGACAAAAGTGAAATGTAATATAATTATTAATAATAGATCCATAAAATTACTAAATAATATAATATATCAAATATAATTTTTTATAAAGTGAGTAGTTTTAATTTATTTATCTTATAAAACTAATGATAAAATTAATTCATATAAATAAAAAAATTAAAGGACAATACAAACAGTGGAATATTATATGTCGATTTACTATCTATTTTTATCAATTATCATATGACAATCAAGTAATTTTTATCAATATAGCGAATCATATATTTTACAGAAACTATAAAATATTGATAAGGACATCAGAAAATATCTTTTAAAGATATTGTGGGATAAATAATATGAAGATTAATTTTTAATATTTTATTTAAGATATATAGATGGAGTTAAATAATTAAATGCAAATTGTTGCTATATTTATTATCAAGAGCATTGATTAGTAAAATTTGTTAAAATATTAACTGTAATATATTCTATAACTATCAAATATGTCTGTGTAAGTGGAATTTTACCTAGTATTTTGTAACTAATTCTATATAATAGAGGAATATCAACTATATGCCTACTTACTTTTTCTAAATAAATTTCTTATACTTTTTTGAAATAAATTATTACCATGCATTTACATTAATGTATATACAAGTAATTTATTATATTTTATATACACTAATAAATTATATATTTCAAATTTGTTTCTTATTTTTTTTATTAAAATTAACTTCATATCTTGTAAAAATATTTTATGACTATATATCGACTAAGGTAACCCAAAGGGGGTTTTGGGGCGAAGCCCTCAGTAATTTTTTAATTCCCCCTCCTCTTAGGAAAATCCTGGCTACGCCTATGAGTGGTCTAGATTATATTAATCGTAATGGGAAGGGAAGTATAAAATAATTTGGTAGGAATTAATTTTGAGACTTATAAGATCTTAGCTGGTATCTATTATTAAAATAAAAAGATTCATCTACATAGTGTTATGCTTATTAATTTTTTATATTCAATTAATTTTATAAGAGTATTTAAATTATTTATAATTAGATTCTTGTTGAGCGAGCACATTATAATGTATATTAGGCAAATAAATATGTAGAGTTTATTACTAGATGACATAATGATAATATTACTTTCGTGATAATTTTATTGTATTGGAAATAACAATAGAATGGAATACTGCGAATATAAAGCAATATGTCATTAATATAAAGATAAAAAATAGAGAATTATAAAAAATTAAGAGTATTATAGGAGATAAATAAGACAAGACAGATCAATTTTTACAAACCGATTATTTGTTATAGTTATGGAGCACAGACACATGTAGTGACAATGCGAGTTAACAATGCATCTAAAGGGCGCGAAATTTGGACATAATAGTCACGTGTATACGAATTAGAAAGGATTTGATAATAGTTTGAAGTTCTCAAAATGCGGACAAGGACGGAATTTACAAGGGAAATGTAATAAATAGCTAAATGAGATTAGAAATAAGGCTATAAATAATAAAATTAATAGTATGCCTGATTTTTTAATAACAATATAAATTTAGGTAAAAATGAAGATATAATTAATTTAAAATGTGTAATAAAAATATTTTTAAAGATGGAAATATTATTGGAAGAGAAATTGAAAAAGACATTGTTTGTAAAATTGAATTATAAGAGATAATAAAGAGAAGAATGCCCGTGGATTAAAATAACAATAATAGAAAATGAACATTCGTTTTAACAAGAATATAGGTGCTGATTATAATTGCTGGTCTTTAGTTTAGAAATTAAACAATATTTAACAAATAATTAATTATAAAGTAGAATCTGATATAATTGAGGATATGTTCTGCAGTGAAATAAAGAGTATATTGTTTTTTAAGATTAATAAGGCACTCAAAAAGATCTTGAGGTAGATGTAAGATAAGTGGAAGATTACTTGCCTAAATTTTGTGACATAAGAAGTTTACTTTTTTAGAATAGAGTAAAGAGATAAAGTACTAGACAAATGGCTTAAAGAAGCTATAATAAGACAACAGTTGATAGTGTATGGGCACACTATTTGTCCCTATAAGAAAATGAATCTAAAGGGAGCAACAATTTTTCGAAAATAGATTTTTATAATGCCTTCTTTTAATTAAGGTGAATGAGAAAGCTAGTAAGATATTAACCATTACGAGACATTGCTTGCATTCTGCAGATTGTCTTTTGGGTTAAAATCAGATTTCAAAGAACATGGGCACATTAAGTGGAATGATATATTATTTAGATGACGTTTTGATATCAGGTTAACAGAACAAGAGCATAATATTAGATTAATTAAAGTGTTAGATATAAGCTAAGAAAATGGTCTAAGAGCTAATATGAAAAAAGTGTTTTTGGAGAAAAGAAAGTAATGCACTAGGACATGTAATAAGGGGAATTAAATTTATCCTATTTTAGAGAATATTGATATGATTACGAGCATGAGAACACCGAGTAATAAGACAGAAAAACAAGCGTTCCTAGAACTATAAATTATTATAATCGTTTCATACCGAATTTTGTAGAGATAGCTACGACAAAGAAAAATATAAGATTTTAATCGGAAAAAACAAAAAAAATGGTAGATAGCAGTAGCGTAGCTAAGAATTTTTCTCAGAGGGGGTCCATACATATAAAAGCCCCTCAGGCCCCCTTTTAAAATTATATTTGTTTTTCTTATAATATAAAAGTCCTAGAATTATTGATCATTTTAATTAGTGTTGTTAAAAGGCTCGATTTGAGCCGATTTAAACAGCTAACTCAAAATTTTAAAATATTGCTCAAGACTAGAGATTTCATGAATAATGTTTAAACAAGTATTTTTTGAACGTATGATCCAAATTTTTTTTTTCTCTGGGGATAATGAATATATTTTTTATAAATGCAACAATAATATGTTAGTATAATTTAATAGATTTTTCTCTATGACTTTATAATAATACAATCCAGAATAATTTTAATAGTAATATAATATCCTTTCACAAAGATCAAAACCAGAAAAATATAAATATTCATGGTATTTATTTGATATAAAGTCACTTTTGAGTCTTTCAGCATATAATCTAAAAAAAAAAATTTGCTCTGGGGGAGGGGGGGGTCTAAACCCGATCCCCACCTCGTAGCTACGCTACTGGGCAATTATATGATTTGAAATTATAAAGAGAGGTATACTTTTCTCTTCGATTTGGCTAATTCATCTAGAATCAAATTTTTATCTAGAATAATCTCCTTATAAATTTTTAGTATGGCTAATACTGTTTTCACCTGTCTTACCTAAATAAGTTAACTTTTTCAAAGTTGAAAGACCTTTCATTAGTGAAGGTACTAATCGATAAGGTAAATAAAATAAAAAGCAATGTTTTTATATTAGGCAGGGAATCTAAAATGCAATTACACATATTTTTTTTGTCTCAAAGAGTACACTTTTCGGTTAAGATTTTTATACCAAAATTATACATGACAGAGTAACTTATCATACAATCCTGATAAATCATCAGAATAAAACTGAGATTTTCTTAATATCCTCTCGCATTTCAAGTGTATTCGGACTCAA